ATTGCCATTGTGCTGGTCGTGGTAATTTTTAGGGTCCCTGTCACCCTCCACTCATCACAGACTGACTCCCACCCAAGCCTGAGCCAGCCCGATGGCAAGGTCAGGCTCACGCGTGCAGGAGAGGGCTCGTGGCTGCAGGACAGGTGATCCCTTGGAGTGGACAGGCCTGTGCCGGATCTGAGAGTGTGTGCACATGACCCAGCCCCAGCAGACAGGCATCCCAGGGGCCCAGTTCTACTTCACTCAGTAGAGTTACAGAGTGCAGTTGGTCTTCTCCTCCAGGCCCCATGGCTGAGCCACCTTAGTCCTGAACGCTAAGTGAGTCCCACCTAAGGACGTGTTACTGACCCACCCCAAGAACCCTCCAGCTGGGGCATTGCTGAACTAGTCCTGCTGGGGCTGGGTTGGCCAGGCCCCAATCCCTGGAGGCCCTGGGGTTTGCTCCGAGGGTGGGTCCTGTGGGCTCCAGAATTTCTGCCCAAACCCCGTGTCATTTAAGTGTTCAGTACAACCAGCTGACAACATCACTGCATCTTGTTCTGAGCAGCGTCCCGTCTCCACCGCTTTTGATGACCGAGTGATCCTGGAGGCTCACCTGCCCTCACCTGGCCATGGCCCTGGGCCAGCTTCTGAGGCTCAGGGTGTTGACAGGACCCTGGCTTCAGTTGAGCCAGTGCCCCAGACCCTGCCCTTACCCCCTCTTCCCCAGGCCGGGGAGAGTAGAGGCTGTGCGTTCACTCTGGACCAAAGCCACGCTGAGGGACAGGGGGTCAGAGCTGAAAAGCTCTCCCACAGCTTTGCACAGCTATGATCTGAGATGAGCCACTGCCTGAAATCTGAGGGCTGCAGATACAAAGTCAGGAGGGCTAGGATGGTTATGACGGGTGACCACTTGGACATGTCTTTATCTCTAAGGAGATGGTCTGTGTATGGGTAATGAGTTTGCCAGATACATTTCAGAAATCTGGAGAAATTCAGGAACTAAATATAACTGACACGTGCCTCAGAAAGACGACAGAAGAAAAAAGCTTTTAACTTTCCTTTATTTCCTTGTCACTGAAAAGGTCACAGATGAGCAGCGTACAGAGGAAAGCGTCTTAGAACAAATTAATCACCTGTTATTTGTGAAATTCTCAGGGTCTGAATCTTAATCACTAGTTATATTTTTACATTGTTTCTAAATGTTTTTTTCTTATTATATTGATGAATAACCCATAGACTAAAATTCGTGGAGCATTTAACAGAAGAAAGTGAAGAAAAACTAAAGAGCCTCTTTATGAGGGTGAAAGAGGAGAGTGAAAAAGCTGCCTTAAAACTCAACATTCAAAAAACTAAGATCATGGCTTCTGGTCCCATCACTTCACAGCAAATAGAAGGGGGAAAAGTAGAAGTAGTTAGAGATTTTATCTTCTTGGGCTCCAAATTCACTGCAGACAGTGACTGCAGCCATGAAATTAAAAGACATTTACTCCTTGAAATCTATGACAAATCTAGACAGCATATTAAAAAGCAGAGACATTAGTTCGCTGACAAAGATCTGTATAGTCAAAGCTTTGGTTTTTCCAGTAGTCATTTACAGATGTGAGAAATGGACTATAAAGAAGGGTGAGTGCCAAAGAATTGATTCTTTCAAACTGTGGTGTTGGAGAAGATTCTTGGACTGCAAGGAGATCAAACCAGTCAATCCTAAAGGAAATCAAACCTGAACATTCATTGGAAGGACTGATGCTGAAGCTGAAATTCCAATACTTTGGCCACCTAATGTGAAAAACTGAGTCATTTGAAAAGACCCTGATGCTGGGGAAGACTGAAGGCAGGCGGAGAAGGGGACGACAGAGGACAAGATGGTTAGATGGCATCACCAACTCAGTGGACATGAGTTTGACCAACTCCAAGAGATAATGAAGGACAGGCAAGCCTGGTGTGCTGCAGTCCATGGGGTGGCAAAGAGTTGGAGACAACTTAGCAACTGAACAACAACAACAATATGAGTCGCTTTATCCCATGAATAGAGTTTAACATTGAAAGTTAGGGAGAATTTGTAAACTTTTACCTAAAGCAGATATGATGAAATGTCATATTTACAGCAATTACCTTTATTAATGTTGTTTCTATTTTCTCTTAGGAGTTACTGCAACAAAATGGTTAAAAGACATCCTAGATTTCATCAAAAATAGACCAACAAGCCAACTGAAAAATGGGCAGGGGACACAAATCAGGCGGCTCATGGGAAAGAAATCCTAAGAAATGCAGGAAGAGCTGCTCATCCTCATGGAAATGAGAGTAACTTGTACTCACCAGGGAAATGGGTGAAGATTCTAGCGCACCCAACAGCACCTTCTGTTGATGAGGCTAGAAGAAAATTACTTATTTCCCTGCATTTACTCAAATTGCAGGAAAGTGTGCAAATCAGTCAGTTGACATAGAGGGGATTTAATCAATATAAGAACATCATAAAATACTTATCTTTTGACTTGGAAATACTTCAGGGGAAATTTGCTCTACAGATAAACCAACACCCAGGGAAAGATGGACACCAGGGTTATTCCCAGGGACAAGTGTGTACCTGGGTGAGGTATGTGTCTTGTACGGTTTGTGAACAGTGTCTCTGTGTGTGCATGTGTGGGCAGTGGGTGTGCAGTGTGTATGAGTGTGGTGTGTGTGTGTAAAACCTGCTTGTAGACATCCATATCACAGTTGCATGGGAGAGAAGCAAGGGTGGGTCTGCTGACGAAAGGCTTTGTTGAAAGGTGTGTGAAAAGCTGACCCTGCCGTCAGTATGCTCTAGGATTTGGGGGAAACCATCCGTAAAATCACTTTTTTGATGCCAAAATATTTACTTTGGGAGAAGAGAGAAGAAAAGGCCTGACAGGAGGTGCTGGGGTTGGCTCTGGTCTAAAACAGCCGCATATCCCCGGGGGTGGAACCGGGGCCACTGGACTTAGTGGCAGTGCTTGGGTCTGTGCTCTGCCTGTCCCTGGGAGACTGAGGCCCCGCACCTGAGCCCACTGAGGGGTCCTGGCCCCCCTCCCCCGCCAGCGGCCCTGCAGGGCTTTCCCACTGCACACGCAGATGTGCTCCGACAGCGGCCACGACTGGCGTTTAGACAGGTTAAACCAACCTTTGAGTGCATTTTTAGAGAGAAGGCGGCTGAAGGTGAGGAGAGCTGAGTCATTCCTGGCACTCGGGAGTGAGTGCCTGGTTTCAGAAATGTGGTGGATAAAGAACCTGAAATCTGTCCAACTGCAGATATCTCAAAGTGCTGGGGAAACGTTAGCAAACGTTCTCTTAAATGTGGAGCTGAGCTTTCGAGAAAGGCTGGGGTGCTTCCAGGGGTCAGAGGGGGGGACTGTGGTGTGGGGAGGGGGCATCCAGGGTCCCGGGTGGACACTTGAGTTCCTGGAGTAACTGAGGGGCTCGAACTGCAAGCTCACCTCTTGGATCTGGGAAGGATGAATCCCAAAGAGCAGGAACAACGGAGGAGCTGTGTCCCTCCACCTCAGAGGGGGCAGAGCCCGCCCTGCGTCTCCCCCGGGAATCCCCGGCAGGGCCCCGTGCCCCAGGGAGGTGGCCCAGGCAGATTCCCAATCACGGGAGCTTGGCATCAGGGCAAAGCCACTAAGCAGCAGGGCAACGCACAATCCGGAGGTGGCGTCAGCGCCTAAAGCAGAGGCTGATGGGGCTTTCGGGAGGGAGGGGGCCTGGGTTACTGGCTCCGGGCGGGCACTTCCCGCTGGTCTCCACTCACCCCGGGGCTGGAACGGCAGCATCAGGCTGCTCTCTGGTGCGGGATCCCAGCGGCAGAGTGCAGTCCTGTCCCAAGTGTCGTCACCAGAAGCTGAGCTTCCAGCCCCGGGTCCCTTCCTGGTGGGACCTTTGTACAGGAAATGCATTCCATGGTTACGTGGCTTAGGTGAGTTTGGAGCAATTCTTGGCAATGCCCCATGCACACAGCAGCGACAGTTGGTGACAAGGCAGGTGGTGTGGCGGAGAGCACAGCAACACCATGTCCACTGTTTCTGGTGACTCTGCGTCCCCAAGTGGAGAACCCGATCCAGCCCAGCACCCGGGGCACACCTGACAGAGACCACACGGCCGCAGCCCTGAGGCTGGGCTGTCTGCGGTCCCACAAACCATGTGCTTCTGCAAAAGCCCTGCCCATGAGGAGCCCACAGCGGCAAAGCCACGTCCTCCGCCTCCTCCTGTCGAGGCTGGACCCTCAGGCCGAGCGTCACAGGATGCAGAGGCAAAGAGGACACGCTCGCCTGTGTATTTCCAGCTTCAGGGGGACAGCGCATCAGGGGTGCTGTTAACCGGGGAATGTTTGGGGCCACCGTGTTCAGGGTAGGGAACGTCCCCTCTATCCCTAGTTTTCTAAAGGTTTTAATGACCCAGTGTTGACATTTACCCAGCCCTGGGGACGTGAGGGTGTTACTTACTCTCTGTCCTCTTCAGGACCCCTCACATCTTTCCTAATTAAAAAGAAAATGTGCTTTTCACAGCAAACAAGCTCAGGTGCCTTCACAAGAGTGGCAGGTGTGGGACACCAACCCCTCACAATAATTTCAGATGATTTATGTCAAGCCATAAATTTATTCAGGAAAAAGGAAACACGGGCCAGCGCCCGTTGGACCAGACTTGTGATAGTCAGGGTCGCGCTTTGTAAAAAGCGATCCTGAGTGATTGGGCACGCGTCTCTTACTCACGGGGGCCAGCGCCACGGTCTGTAGGCTTGTATTTGGTTTCACTCACTTTACAGTAGCGGGGTCTTTTTGAAGCGATGTTCACAGCACAAGTATGGTACTCTGATATGGATGACAACTCTGTTTAGATGGAATGATAATAGTTGCACATCGCCTGTGCCTGTGGAACAGGAGTGAAGCCTTTAGACTCTAAAGTCACATGTCTGGGCTGAAATACCAGTGGGGACGCTCGCTGGCCCCATGCCATGGACAACTTGATTGTGTCCGCGGGCCCGTATTTTTTCCCTGTCAAAGCAGGAGGACCAATGGCGCCCGCTTCTGACACTGCTGTGAGGATCATGACTGGCGGTGTGCCGCGCACCCTCAGGCAACTGCAGGTCGTCAAGGGCGCCCGCACCCCTCGAGGGTGTTGCACAGTGCTTGCTGATACCACCTCCACTGACCCGTCAGTGTTAGCAGACGGCCCCACCACCAACCTGCTCTACAGGTGAGGTCACTGGGGCTTGCAGAGAAGAGAACTGCCTCACAGGTTGCAGTTGTTTAATCTCTGCTTTATGAGTGCTGTTGTTCATGTATGTGACTGCTCGATGCTGCACTCCTGCTTGGAAACACTACCCTTGACGTATCGTCGTTCCTGTGAGAGAATACGATCCACCTTGAGGAGATTTACTATGACACTGTTTTGGGACATGCACTAAAGCAAAACACAAAAGGAAATGAAAAATGCACGAAACACAACAAAATAAACCAAAGTAAAATAGAGCAGTGTGTGTGCTAGGTCACTTCAGTCGTGCCTGACTCTTTGCAGCCCACTAGGCTCCTCTGTCCATGGGATGCTCCAGGCAAGAACACTGAGTGGGTTGCCATGCCCTGCTCCAGGGCATCTTCCCAACCCAGGGATGGAACCCACATCTTGTGTCTCCTGCGTTGGCAGGTGGGTTCATTACCGCTAGCGCCACCTGGGAAGCCGAAACAGAGAGAACAGAGAAGAATGCAGAGCCACACGTGACACAGGAGGAACCTGGAGCTGGGGCTGGGGCCTCCGGTTCCCTGCTGGCCTCGGGTGCCGCCTGCACAATGATAGGCCCCGTGGACAGGGCCCGAGGGGCAGGACCAGGACCCCAGCTCCTGCCGCTGCGTTTCTCTGGCCTGCCTCCTCGGTCGGCTGAAGCCAGCGGTCTCCAGTTTCACTCCCTGGTCTAGCACTCTCTCCCGGAAGTTGTGTGTTGGCGGTTTCAGAGACTACATCAGTGCCGCTGATGTGGGGCACTGGCTGCCCGGAGGCCCTGGCTCTGAGTCTGGCTCTGCCATGTCTCCAGGCACTCATCTTTTCTGGAAGGATGAGAACACGCCGCTTTTGTTGTAATAGCCGATACTCCCTCCATGAAGCCCTGCACTCACCCTGCACGGTTTGGGAAACGTTTGTACCAGATGGCGAAGCGAATCCAGATGAAACTCATTATTCAATCAGATTAATCTCCTTCCTTGGCTGATGACATGAACTTTCCAAAGGCCCAATTTGTTCTAACTTTAATCAGCTTGGACCCCCTTGGTTTTAAAGTATCTGTGTCAGAAACAGTCACATTAGGAAAAGGCTTGAGCTCTCTCCAAGTCTGAATGTGAAATGTTTCAGCTCAAGTGCAGAAGGAAAGAAGGTTTGGGAACAGTGGGAGCAACAGAGGGCAGGTGTCCAGAGACCTCAGTTCTGCCTTCAGAGCATCTCCTCGGTGCGCAGGGCTGCTGCGCCTGCTGCGTCGTCTCCATCCCACCCATGGCATGAGGCTTCGAGCCGCCTACACCCCAGAGGGCGGGGCTGCACCTGTGCGTGGGGGTGCCAGGCGCCGGCGGCTCACTGGGCCTTACCCTCCTGACCCGCTGAGCTCAGGGCTGGGGAGCAGAGGGTCTCTTGCTCAGAGTGTGCAAATGGCACAGCTGTTTTCATGCAAACTCTTTCTCCAAACTGGTTTACACTGGTATCTGCTATTTAACAAAAAAAAAGAGGGGAGGGGGGGAGAAAGCGCTTGAGCAATCACTGTCCGAATTTGGCTGGGTAATCTCTACGATAGTGGAGGCAGATATTGTTCCTTGTCCCCTTTGGCTCGATCCCCTTTCCCCTGGTCCTTGAGATCTCAGTACCTGGGAGACTTTCACAGTGTGGAAAGTCTGAAGTGGAAACGGAAGGCAGGACCCTTCATGGCCTAGCAGCCAGGCCGGGCAGCTTCCCGGGAGGTCGCAGACCCGGGCCTGGGTGGGAGGCAGTGACCTGGGTGCCAGCGGGCTGCTGGCCACTGCCCCAGAGGAGCTTTGAGCTCCTTCCCAGACCCTGGCTCCTCCTGCCTCAAGACTCCTTCACGCTGAGTGGCACGGCCCCCAGCCTTGGGGCCACCTCGCTGCCTCCACAGCACTCACTCCCCCGAAGGCTGCCAGGAACGGGGTTTCTCTTTCCACAACCTCCGTGCCATGTGCCTGCTGGCGGGAGCTGCGGCTGCAGGCCCGAGAGACTAGGGAGAGGCAGACCTCAGGAAAGTCCCGGGGGGTGTCCGCCATCCCCCTCCCCAGACGTGTTAATAAGTGGTCCTCACGGGTGCACTGTTGTCTTGTTGGAACATCTTTAAATTTGGGTGAAATACATCCCGAACACTTGAAGAAGCATCCTCCCAAGGCTGAAAGCAAGAGCCTTTCTCCTCGAGGTGTTCTCGTTGCTCCCCTATCATCCCTGATTCAGATTTGCTTGCAACCTGACTTCCTGCTCGGAGCCTGCCCTTCGGAAGGGGAAACGTAACCACCTTTGCAGAGCTTCCAGGAGCGTTAGTATGACAGAGTTCCTTGGAGGAGGGTGATTTTTGTGCTGCTTTGGTTTTACATCTGGAGTAGAGCGGAGAAGGGGGCCTTGAGTTGGTGAGGAGCCGGTCCCTGGCTGGGGCAGCCGCCCCTCCGCTGCCCTCGGCCACTGTGGCAGAGTTGAGCGGAGGCCACATCTACCCCAGGAAGGCACGTGACACCGAGGGAGACTGGGAGCAAACTTGCAGCTTATCTACGAAGCCGTCAGTGTTGATCAAGGGAATGGCTCTGATAACATTTTCTTAACTTCCCTCTGGGCACTCCCACCAACGTCCAGCCTGAAGCAGCCTTGGTCATGAAGAAAGTTCCAGAATCCTCGCGGGCTTCCTGGTGCTCTGACCCAGCACAGGTTGCAGGTCCTGAACCATCCAACATTACGACTTTTCTCTGTCCAGGCTGCTCACCTCTCTGAAACAGTGAAGCCTCCACAGACAAGACAGACACACAGTGAGGCTGTTCCCATAGAAACTCTACCGAACAGGGATTGCAGAGCTGGGTCCGGCCAAGTCCTGGTCCAGGAGCGTGAAAGTTCAGGGGTGTCTTCCTCTTCCTGTGGGCTACCCCCCCACCCCAGGCAGACCTCTGGGCCTCCTGGAGGCTCTGGGCCGGGACGGGAGAGGCTGTGGAGGTCCGGCCCCCGTCAAGCACCTGCCTCAGCACTGTGTCCGTTGCTGTTCTCTCCCTGGGGCTCCCAGAGCTTGTGCGGGTGGGTGGCTGGACCATACTCCGCGTCTAGCAGAAGGCCCAGTCTTACTGGTGACCCGCCTGCTGAGCTAGTCACTGAAATGCCCTACTCTCCTCCAACCCTAGATGCCAGTGATGACCTTTTGGAACACGAGCATCAGATGCCAGGTCTCCCAGACACAGACAAGCAGGAGGGGCTGGGTGGTTCTGCCTGAGAGAATCTCCCAAGCTCACAGGGACACATCTGACTCTTGCACGAATGTGCTTATGCCATGGTGTGAACCAAGGATGTCCAAGAATGAGAAGCAGTGCCTAAATGACTCTGAAGTTTGACCCCAGGTGATGATCAGCATCCACGCTGCTAGTTTGGTAGGTGATGTGCTTGGAGGTTGATGTAGTGTTCACACCCTGGAGAAGGAAATGGCAACCCTCTCTAGTATTCCTCCCTGGAGAATCCTAAGGACAGAGGAGCCTGGTGGGCTACAATCCATGGAGTCGCAAAGAGTTGGACATGACTTAGCAACTAAACCACCAGTATTCACTCCACATTGTCCAGGGTTCTGGGAGACAGGGAGGCAGAGAGACGTAGAGACTGACCCACCTGTTCTCCTAATGGGGGGGAGATAGAGAGATGTGGAGACTGACTTGCCTGTCCTTTGAATGGCGGGGGGGGGGGGGGGATGGAGAGGTGTGGAGACCGACCTGTCTGTCCTCCCAAGGGCTGGAGGGCGGGGGAGATAGAAAGACGTGGAGACTGACCAGCCTGTCCTCCCAATGTCGGGGGTGGGGGTGGGAATAGAGAGACGTGGAGACTGACCCGCCTGTCCTCCCAATGTGGGGGAGATAGAGAGACATGGAGACTGACCAGCCTGTCCTCCCAATGGGGAGGAAATAGACGTGGAGACTGACCCGCCTGTCCTCCCAATGAGGGGCAGCCGAGGAGCCACCTCCACCATCATGTCATGGCCTTGGGAGAACGACTGATGAGAGACGCGCCACAAAGCTCTGGGGACATATCTATCAACATCCGAGCTCCTCCTCTGTGAAGCGGGCGTTCCCTGGTCAGAGTTTGTCTGGTTTGATGGCTGAAATCCCCCTGGCATGTGAGCAGGGCAGGCATGGGGGTGAGAGGAACTCTGAGACCCTGCCTCGCCCTCCCTCCTGCCCTGGACTCTCGTCTCTCATCAGGCAGGAGGTGACCACGGTCTCCCTGTTCTTTGCAGACCAGCTTTGTCCGCTCACTTGTCGGTGTGGTGGTTCCCAGCGCCCACCATCCCAGGAAAATCATTTCGTCTCACCTCCCTGCGCCTAGGGAACTGCTAACGAGTCTTTACTAACCAGCACCTGCACAGAACCAAGAAACACTGTCTATGGCCACATGTCACTGGGGGATATGAATTGGCTGGTCTTGAGCCAGCACCCACCAGCTTCCAGCGGCAGTGAGGATGGCTGGGGCTGTGCTGAGATCCTGACCGTTCTCAGACATGGCCAGGCACCCCCTGGGGCTCTCTGCATCATCTCCATCTGTCCGCAGACCTGGTTCCTCCAACAACCAGGTGTCCAGGTAACGAGTAGTGAGCTGGTCACATCGGAGCCCGGACGACACCGGGTCCCCGGTTCCATTCACAGAGGAGGGCCCCCGGGCCCACGTGCTGGGTGCTGTCTTGCCTGGCGTGTGGAGCGTGGGCGTCTCTAGTCCAGCTCATTCCGGTCCCCCTGCTCTGTCACTGAGTCACAGAGCTGCAGGGTGGGGCTTTGATTGATTGAGGATAATTTGCCTATTCCTATCTTGTAAGTTTAAACATTACCATAATCACATCTCCACCAGAAAGGAACATTCCATCCTTAGGGCCTCGCCCTGCCCAAGGTGACCTCTGTCCTGTTTGCCTGGGACCATCCCAGTCTTGGCACCGAAAGCCCCACATCAGGGCAAGCCAGATGTTGGGTCACTCTAGCTGTTCC